CTAATTGTTTTGATTAACCATTTTGTCTTATCTTGTTTACGGGTGTAAGCCTCATCTAGTTTCTAGATTCTTGAAATTAAATCACGTTTTGAAAAGAATTTATACCGATCACAGGACGATTTCCAGGGACCATAGTTAAGTCACATCACCATTGTATTCATCTAGCTCTCCTCTATATTCCACGTTTTCCGGTTTTTTAAATTCTGACATACTGAAAAAAAGCTAAGCCAATAATGACATTGTTGGACCAGTGTGCAGGCTGCAGAAGAGGACGAACATGACTTTGTCGGTTGTTTAGTGGAGTAAGTCTTACTTTCATCACTATCTTATGGCAAGTCGTCACTCATTACTCTTTCTTTAGCTACAAAACTATTTCCACTGCCTCCTTCTCAAGTGTGGTTTCTTGGTTGATGCCTCTAAGGAGACAGCAAGACCATCTTTCCTCGTTAATTATTCTTTTGGCTTCCAACCCTCGTGCTTTCCCCTCTTTGATAACTTTAAGATTGCATCTTTTCTTCAAATATATGTTGCTAATCCATCTAAGCAGATAAAGAATACTGCTAATTAGTCTAGTATTTATTGATTATTCTAAATCATGTCCCTTTAATCAATTAATCTCTGATGTTTACTGTCAGTGACTTCAAAATCTAGTTTTACTACTTGTTGACCGGCTGTTTAATTTAGAAAGGGGTCCCTCTCAATTTTCTAGAAATTACCCCATCTCTGAATAGTACTCCGTACTACCTAGCTAACCAAGTCATTGGGTCAATCTTTTCTCCATTTCTCAGCGTCTTAAATTAGCTTACGTATAGGGAATTAGTGAGAACTGAGGAGTTAGCACTAAAAATGTCCACTTTATAGGGTGAAATGACAAGTCTTAGATCACTCAAGTGATTAGTTCTTCAATTATGATATATTACTGAGTTTTTTTCTAAAAGAGTTGAGAAGATATTTCTTCTAAGTTAGGACAGATTACCAGAAGGTGAAGTCTAAGATCAGAGTCATTTCAGATACTAGGATTTATGGAACACACAGGTCAAGACAAGGATATGGGCATGCCCAATTGTATCGGTTTTAATTCATCTCACCTCAACCAGCAAGAATCAACACCCTTTGCTGCAGCCAAACTCCCCACTGCTCCTATAGTTTCAAGTCTACCAGATAGAACAAGAAATGAACAAATTAGCCATGGAAATACCATATTCAGTCCTAACCAAACCCTAGATCATCAGCATAATCTTACTCCAAATTCAGATCCAGATCCGACTATTATTGCAGCACAGCTTCGACAACAATCGACAACCTCAGCAAGCGACAGGAACAGCTCCATCCGATACAAAGAATGTCTCAAGAATCATGCGGCAAGCTTGGGAGGACATGTCCTCGATGGTTGCGGAGAATTCATGCCAAGTGGAGAAGAAGGAACCCCAGAATACCTGAAATGTGCAGCTTGTGATTGCCACCGCAATTTCCATCGGAAAGAGACTGAGGACGAATTACAAACAGCTGGTGTGTATAGAAATAATAGCAACAGCCACCGTGTACACATCCAGACTCCGCCTTCTCTTCCAGTTCCGCCGCAGCAGCAACACCATCATAAGTACTCTCACAACTATTCTAGAGGTCCGATGCCACCAGTGATGATGAACTTCGGAGGGAACACCGGAGTTCCGGCTGAATCATCGAGTGAAGATCTGAACATGTTTCACTCGAACGCCGGAGGACAAGGGGTGATTCAACCTTGTGCTTTTTCGGTGTCAAAGAAGAGATTTCGAACGAAATTCACTCAACAGCAGAAGGAGAAAATGCAAGAATTTGCTGAGAAGCTGGAATGGAGGATTCAGAAACAAGATGAGCAAGAAGTGCAGCAGTTCTGTAACGAAGTGGGCGTGAAGAGACAAGTGTTTAAGGTATTTATGCACAACTGCAAACAAGCTATCAAGAGGAAACAAACTTAAGGCAAGACTGCAAACCCCGTATTTGATTAAATTAGACTCATTAGAGACTTATTTCTTTGTGCATAAATCTGATTAGGAAGAGTTTAGGCAAATAATTAATTCTTTGATCGCACAATTTCTAAACTCTAATTAGCAGCTTCAAAGGCCGGACTGTTCAGTGTTTATTAGTCTTTGTCTTTCCCCGTTCAAGCATACAATGAAGGAATTTAGTAAATTTATCTACCTTATGTTGTTAGTAGTTATGTTGCGCGGACTCTCCAAAGCATTATTGCACCCGTGTCGAATCATCCTCCAAAAATGCACTATTTTTGGAGAATCCGACACACACCCAGTAACATTTTCGGAAAATCCGAGCGCATAGGTTAGTAGTATCAGCTAATCCTAGTAATTTAGAATCTAACTAGAAATTGATCCAAGGTTTACTCCTTTTTATAAGTTAGATCCAAAAGTCTCAAAATAATTCCCCTTTCTGTGCATTAAATTGGGGTTGCTAGTTGGCTTTCTAATCAGTCCCGCTTTTTATGTTTTGTTTTTTCTGTTATTGTGTTGTCCACATATCAATCAGCTCCTATCACGGAAATAAGAAGACAAATCAAACAAACATACAATTGCCAGGACTAGGAGTGTATTACCCCTCTCATTTAGGTTACTTGCGGTATTCTTAATTTGAAGGAGAATATCGTTGTTTCTTCATCGACCAGTTTCAATTAGTATAAGTGAGACGAGAATGAGAAAAAAGAAAGGATCTAATTTGCAGTCTCTTATACTGAAAAAAAGACAATTCTATGACTTTCGGACTGGGGATTTTATGCGGTAATAGCTGTTGCAATGAAAATTACAATATAGTAAAGCTTGCAAACTATGCCTTCGTAGGTAATTATTGGAAGTTCAATACATGATTAAAAACTACTATCATAGTGCTTGAGCCTTGTACTTATAATAGATAATTTGGTGCATTAATTCATCAACCCACAATGAACTGGTATATAAGACCCTATATCCCAGAATCCTTACGTCAAAAAAAGGAACCAAACCATGCCAGTAAATGGCTGGTGAACATAAGACCAAAGCCATGGTGACATTATTATGATACAACAGTAAAACTTATTAGTCTCTACTACTTCCGCATATTAAGTATCCATATCTCTATAGATAGATCATAGATATAATATATCACTCGGACGACAAAAGAAACTGCTTATACATGAAATAGTCACAGAACAGCAGGTATTAATGAAACCTACTAACTCTTTCAGCAAAAAGAGGATATATGTACGTACTGTTATTCTCAAGAACATTAATTAGTTTTCAGTTCCATAAGCAATCCATTGAATGAACTCGATGATTTATTTCACCTACTCCCAAATTGTTTCTTAGACTTTTAAGTTTGGGTGTTTCAAAGTATTTGTTCACAAACTAGGGGTGCTATACACTAGTATCTTGACATTAGGGGTGACAAAATGGTTAAAAGAAAACAGTTAACTACCCGTATTATCCATTAAAAAATGGGTTGGATAATGAATTTTTTAAAAACGAGTCAACTATGGATAAGAACCATATTATCCATTAAGAAAATGGATAACTAATGGTTAACCAATGGATAACCAATGAGTCTAACTTTTACATTTATCAAGCCTCAAATTGGGGGTTCCTCAAGTTAGGGAGACTAAGAATTCTCTAAAAAATGATCATATGCAAGAAGTCATGGATTATATGGTTACCCATATTATCCGTCGGTTAACCCGTTTTTTATTCGTATTAAATATGGGTTGGATCGGATAATTTACCCGTTTTTTCATTACCCATTTTCGACCCGAACCATATCCTACCCGACCCGCCCGTTTGCCTCTCCTACTTTGACACTGCTTTTTCCATTATAGTAATGTAGTTTACAATGAAAACATTCTATGTTTTCATCTCCTCTCTACATGTAAAATGCAATTAGTAGTCAAACGGAGTATGAGTAATTCAATTTGAATAGTCACACACTGAACCGACTGTTGTTAATATTAACACTACACATGAACAGGTACACAATAAAAGAGAAAAAATAACTTAAATTAGATCAAGCCATCATCCGGCAAAACTCGTAGTTATACAAGATTATAACAGATGTTATAGATGAATAATAATATATATAGTGATTGACTGATTGTTATGTAGGAATGACACTAAAATCAAGACATTACTTCCCTAATTAGTAAAGTATTTTTATTAAATGAACCTTAAATTGAAGTTAGAAAGAATTATCATAAATTTTGTCTTTTACTTCTGTCAAGATCTTTAAGAGCTTCTATCAGACATTTTACTTCAGTCGAGACATTTTTTTATTTACATAAACGCATCATATGATACATCTGTCATTTTAAGAGCTTCTATCAGAAGTTTTTTCTTTTCTTCTTTCTTCTATTTGCTAATTATCCAAGCATTTCTAGTACATACACAACTTTTTATTTTAGACAATCTTCGTATAAGATATAAAACATGAATTCTCGAAAAGAAAATTGCATTGATAACGTGGAGTTTTCCAGCTCGGAGAGCCACTGAAAATTTTATTTTGTGTCTCATACAACTGATACCAGTTGTATGAGGCAACCTTTTTGTCTCACAGTTTTGTGGACCCAAAAGTGTAAGATTGGGGTCCACAAATTTGTGAGACAAAAAGGAGCCTCATACAACTAGTGTAAGTTGCATGAGACACAAAATAAAACTTCCCGAGAGCCACAGGAAGTGTAATAGAAATTTTACTACTCAATTAAGTGTGAAATTTGAATTCATTATCTATAGGCGTCAAGAAAATAAGCGCTTATTAAAGCCCTTAGCATCTACGGGTTATTGAAAGTTCCTTTTAAAAAGGTCAAATATGAGTGGAGATATCGTAGGAGGCTCCCTTTTAGAAGGTCTTTCATTCCTATCCGAAACGTGACTGTGGAACAGTTCCTGGGTCATCCTACAATGACACGTCTGATCAATATCTACGCATAGGTCTTATCATTCAGTATGTCTTAATTTGAAATGATAGAATTGTCGCACAGTACTACAGAAATTCAACGATAGTAACAGCATTTTCAACACAGTACTAAGATTTTACATTTGGTACAAAAAAAATTTCAGCTTTGTTAGCATGCGTGCAGCGTGTTCACTTTTGCAATGACATATTCTCTTTATTAACTAAGTAATAACCTAAGCGATGACCATGCGGAATTGAGTTGGTCAAGAATTTCATCTGTCCTACAAATTAAAAAGAATAGGTAACCAAAAAATAAAAAAGAAGAAAACAATAGTGAAATCTAAGCCACTCACCTAATAGGAACCTCTTTGCATGTGAGATTTCCTTTAATTTCAGGGGCTGTTAATTGTACTAAATTGCTCATAATTCTTTACCGCCACTTCTCATCTTTGCTCCAACTTTGCCTGTAGCTTCCGAAGCCTTCTCTTTTGCAGTTTCATACTTATCCTTGACTTGTTCATTCATGTTATGCTTAGCAGACCTATAAGTTTCATAAGCCTTTGATTTCGCACCCTCATATCCATCAAATGCTTTCTCTTTCGCATCGTTGGCTCTATCAGTAGCCATTCGTATGGTTTTATCCGCTTTACCGGAGGCAAAATCATATGATGCATCGGATGCTTTGGCTTTCATAGTGTCTTTTGAATTACCAGCAATGTTAGAAGCCCCGTCCCTTGCTTGGTCCATCTTGTCATATGCATATCCATAAGCATCATAAGCTTTGTCTTTACCAATTTCTTTGGCATCACCGGCCATGTCTGAAGCCTTTTCCATTGCTTGACCTGCTTTGTTATTTGCAAAACCATAGGCATTATAAGCTTTATCCTTAACCTTCTCTTTAGCTGAACTACCCATTTCGGAAGCTGCATTTACTGCATCGTGCGCCTTCTCAGAGGCAAAATCACTGGCCTCATAAGCCTTATGTTTGGCTCTTTCTTTGGCGTCAGCGGCAATATCTGAAGCAATGTTTGTGGCTCGACCTGCCTTATCCGATGCGGTAGCATAAGCATCGTGAACTTTCTCTTTGGCAAAATCATTGGCATCATAAGCTTTATCTTTGGCTCTTTCTTTGGCGCTAGCGGCCATATCTGAAGCAACGTCTGTGGCTCGACCTGCCTTATCCAATGCCGAGGCAAAAGCATCATGAGCCTTCTCTTTGGCAAAATCTTTGGCATCATAAGCTTTATCTTTGGCGTTAGCGGCCATCTCTGAAGCAATGTTTGTGGCTCGACCTGCCTTATCCGATGTGGAGGCATAAGCATCATGAGCTTTCTCTTTGGCAAAATCATGGGCATCATAAGCCTTATCTTTAATTCTTTCTTTGGCGTCAGCAGCCATATCTGAAGCAATGTTAGTGGCTCGACCTGCCTTATCAGATGCCGAGGCATAAACATCATGAGCCTTCTCTTTGGCAAAATCATTGGCATCAAAAGCTTTATGTTTGGCTCTTTCTTTGGCGTCAGCAGCCATATCAGAAGCAACGTTAGTGGCTCGACCTGCCTTAGCAGATGCGGAGGCATAAGCATCATGAGCTTTATCTTTGGCGAAATCGGTAGCCATGTTTGTGGCTTTACCAGTTTTCTCCGATGCATAGGCATAAGCGTCATATGCATTTTCTTTTCCTCTTTCACTGGCGTGACGAGTGGTATCTGCAGCTGCATCCATAGCTTGATTGGCCTTCTCGGAAGCAAGATTTTTAGCATCACCATATTTGTCGGATGCCATGTCAGCCATTTCACTGGCCTTTTGAGAACCATACTTTTGGGTTCCTGCATAGAAAAACGCTGAGTATTAGTAGTAATTCTTTCAACGTACTACAAGGTAAGGAAGTAGCTGAGCTCATTCCCTCGGCTTCACTAAAGCTTTGAATTCAAGAGGAAAAATTACCATGTGCTGCAGTATTTATGGAATCTCTTGCATTTGATGCGGTATCCTTAGCCTTATCCATTAATCCTTGGGCCTCGTCTTGACACCTGAAAATAAGGGTGAATAAATCCCGCAAATCTTTTAGAGCAGTCTCTTGCGAACAACAATTTAGCAATGGTTGATTCATCGAATGCAATGCACCTAGTTACGTATGTGTTGTTTCAAAATATTGAAAAAACATATAGGTCATTCGACCTGAAGGAACCTACGTTTACTTTGTAACAGTGAGTACCTAACGATAAATCGCATAGCCCATTTAATTTTATAAACCTTCTCTCAGATTATTGGCATATTTGAGTTAGTTCTTTCATTTTTCAAATTTTTTTAACACTCTTAAGACTTTTCCGATTAATAAATGAAATGAAAATTGAAATAAGTTGATCTCTGCTGACCCCTTGTTTCGATATTTTCCGATCTATTTTAAAAAGATGAAATAAATGTTAGTCTC